ACTCCAAGCACTCAAATTTTTCGAGGTAAAAGCAATTTTTGAGCATATATCACCACCCCTTTCCCACGCATGACTAACAATCTCGGCACAATTCTCATCCCGAAGCCACATCTCCTCAAATAATCAATATTACTGTTAGGAAATAAGGGTGTAATTGTATTTGATCAGTGCGGAACAAGTCAATGAAAAATAAGAATGAGAAAATCAATAAAGAAGATAAACAAAAAACACAAAGATTTACGTGGGTTGGTCAAATTAGACCTACAGACATGGGTGGGGGGTTTGAGAGCTTCTTCAATATAATGGAGAAAGAACGAGAGAATAATACAAGTAGTCCTAAATCTAATGGCTCAAAATAAGGTATGATCGAATTGATCAACTAAAGGGTCCTTTTATAACATAAGGAAACCCTAAAATTGTTCCCCAAATACTCAAATAGTCGTTATAGAAAAGATATAATTTTAGGAAAATTATCCCTAAAATAATAAAGCTAAAACTGGACCAAAAAAACTGAAATTTCGACTAGGCATGGGCGTGCCTGGTCGCGTACTTCGTCAACATATTTCCAACAACGTCAGTTCTTCTTAAAACGACCATAACTTTCTCGTTTCTTATCGGAATTAGGCATATGACCTGTCGTTGAAAATATCTTGAAACAAGCTATCACCTCCAACTTAAATCATCTCAAAATCATTTATAGTTTGAGAGACAACTGCATTTAAAGTCAGCCCTACTAGATTTCGAGTCACAATTTAACAAGTACAAAAGTCAAATTGTGTCAATTATTCTAAAATAAAGGGAGCATAAATTAATATAGCGGAACAGACTATTAAGTACGTAGTATTAATCTCATTATCAACCAAATGAATCAGAATTGAGAGATGTTTAAGGTAGCGTATGTATGTATGACTAAATGGTACTCACTCGGTATTTACCTTAGCATATATACTCTGTATTATGCATCCTTTTGGAATAATCAATAGTAGAGCCTATTAGTCCATTTTATCAAGCAAGAATTGATTTTAGTTTGTAAGAGACTTGACTTAAATACTCCAGGTGTACGATTCAATTTTATTAGATGAGGATACTTGAACCTACTATACTATATTTTACACTCTGCTTTTAAGTATTTGACCTGCAGGGCTGCAGACATTAGATTAAAAAAAATAAAAATAAAAATAAAAAAAACCGTAAAAAGTAAGGTCTAATAATAAGAATCTTAAAAAAATATTTTGTATATACTCATATATATATATACCCTACTAGTCTCATGGATGGTGAGACAATATATATCATACATATTACGTATTTAACATATACTTCGTACATCTATTCAAATAATAATAATAAATAAAATAAAATAAAATGAAAAAATCTTTATCAAACTTTCGGTAAAGTAAATAAAAAGAGAATACGAAGTCTATGTTGTCATTATCAGTGATTCTGATGGTTATAATCAACTTGTTTGTTTGGGTCCGTTTCCCAAAGCTTATTAACTTTGGCAGAACTTAACCTTAATATAATTTTTTCTTCCCCGTGATTAAAAAAAAAAAAAAAAAGTCTATCTTGTCATTATCAGTGATTTGAACTTTGAAGCAAACACCTAAGCAAAGCACCGACGGTTTTGTCGTAAAGCATGAGTGAATCACCCTTTCGTAGCAATCAAAATATATGACCTACTAATTGGGTCATGGGTGTTAGCGCTTTACACTTGTGCGTTCCATATCCATAAAAATGTGCTATAACACGAATTAGTAGAATGCGAAGAATAATTGTCTAAATTTAGGTGACTCCGATGATAATAAATGATTGATTGGGGAGATTTGGTTTATAATTTCTATCCAAACATTCACAAGTGAGATGGAACATATTGACGCATATATAATTAGTTTGTTTAGATTATTTTATTCCTGTATTTTATTATTAAATACATTGAACATTCAAATGCTTTATATTCCATTACTCCATGTAATCATTACTACCTTCATCCCGCTAAAATTTTTATTCACCACTTGTCATCACGATGGAGTCTAATGCTTGTGGCACCCCATGAAAGCTTAGATACGTACCTTTGCCATAGAGGTGACATCTAATGTATATGCCACCACCACAGTTGCTAGGGGTGCAAATGCTAGGTGCCTTTGCTAGTTACAAAATCTAGTGTACTGTTTGCACCCCATCGTGGTGGGCTTGGTGGCCGCACTTGCATTCTTGCAGGCACTCGATCTCACCATGGTGTGGGATGCAAACACCAGATTGTTAGACAGAATAATATTTGTCCATAATTAGCTTTGTAAATGCTAGTGTATTATTGTAAACCCTAATATACTTAGGGTAATGTACTATGATTAATCAATAGAAAGCCTCCAATTAAGGAGTATTCTACCATCTTACATGGTATTAAATTCTGCTTGATCCTAGAACCCTAATCTCGCTTCTCTTCTCTCTTTTCTTCCAGCCACCATGACGGGCAACACACTGTACACTCCTCGTAGTGGTGGACTGGTGGTAGGTTTTATCTTTTATTTAATATTCATTTTACAAGTTCATTCGTTGTTGCCAAAGGATTGAAGGGGATGTGTGATGGTGTTATGTAAATACTATTGTATGTATTGGAGGATGAGCTTAGATGTGTTGAGGTTCATGCGTGCTAGTTGAAGCAAATTTTGATTTACGATTTAGGTAAAGTTCTATATATGAATCAATTATTGACATGCATACCTACATGAGCCACACATATCTTATGATTGATTTCAATATGGACCAAATTAAATTTGATTCTTAGTGTAAGATCAATTATTTAAAAATTCTAGCTTCATGAACTTAAAGATAGGATAGTATGTGAATATATATGTGTGGACAAGAAAGAAAAAAACACGAGGAAAAAGAGAATTGTTGACAAAATTACTACTCCATCAACTAAGCGGTAGGCTTCAACAAAGCTCACAACACATCTTTTGAATTTTCTAAATCATCGTCAGTGACAAGGAAATTACGGGGTTTCAATTCGATCCATCGGGCAAATGAGCAGTGTAATGAACTTAGAAATAAAAGTAAGAAGATGAGTTTTGAGAAGATAATTTCACTCAATCATCAAAGAAACTACACATGATCTACGAAGTTTTCTTTTTTTCCTCTATGTGTGTAGAAAGTAGAGGTGTCAATTCGGATGATCGAATTGGGTTTGATGAGGTCGGATTAATTTTTAAAATTAAGTCACATTAAATTATTATGTCCACGCGAGTTCAAATTTAAATCCGATATTTTTCGGGTCGGTTTTGGATCGGGTCAGGTTAGATGTGGTTTTGACACCTCTAGTAGAAAGTGCTACAAATAATAAATAATATTCTGTAATATCGTACTAGACTATTAGACTTTAATAAATTACTAAACTAGGAATTCGGTATTCATAGAGGTGTCAAAACCGAATCAATCTGAAAAAAATCATCTGTTTCGAACTGTAACTGATCCGATTTGACTCGAGAAATTCAGGACCCAAATCTGATCTGTAACCGACTTGAACTTAATCCGAATCCGAATTTAACCCGATCTGAACATAACTTGGCACCGATTTGACCCGACATGAACTCAACTCGAACCCGATATGACACGACTTGAACTCAAACCGAACCGATTTGACCTGACAAATAACTGATTTAATCCGATCTATTTTAACCCGAACTGATATTAACCCGACCCGATTTTAAACCGATCCGACTTTAACCCAATTCGATTTTATCCCAGCCATAATTTTAAACCTAACCTATTATTCACCATTTTTGTTAAAGTTCTTATAATACTACATATTTACAAAATTAATTATTAATAAGTTAGAAAGTCTAAAACTCTAACAAATATCATACGGAGTATACAAATTGAATTAGTAATAAAGCAAACTAATAATACTCGTAGCCTCATGAGATTAGACAATTGAAGAGTATGTAGTACCTTAACAAAAAGGACATTCTTTTTTGTATATCACCATATGTTACTATCATCTATCAGTTTATCACTAGTTCATTACTAATCGTCTCACTTATGTACGCAGATATGATAAGTCATTGATAATTATTCAATTTAAATTTGGCTCCAAGATAAAAATTACACAAAAATTGATTTGATGAGAAAACTAATTTTTCGCATTTCGTAATCCAAGATAAATATTACACATGAATAACTTGATATCGACCCAATAATAAGGTAAAAATTCAATAATTACTCTAGTTTAAAAATGACCTTATTTGGATATTGAATTTGGTCAACTCGACCAAAATTTAGACAAACACGGAAAGGATTTGAATCAGAATTGACCAAATAATGAATCAACCTTATCTTAATCAAATTGAACTTGACCGAACCGAAATCAACCCGATCAAACCCTTTTTGAATCCGATTCGAATTTATCCGAACCGAACATGACCCGATCTGGAGTTGACCCGACTCATAGCCGACCCGGACTTGATAGACCATGACCTGACCCGAATTTAACCCGACCTAATCCGAGTTAAAAGAATAATTTTGACACAAACATATCCGACCCAAACAGACCCAACCCAAATAAATCCGACCCAAACTCCATCCAATTATCCGAATTAACACCTCTATTCAGATTCACTACACTTTCAACATGTACCATGCATTTTAACGTTTGGCACGATATTATTTCTGGGTACTATCCAGACAACTCACACGATGTGTTAGTATATGCACATTGGGTGATTGGGTCTACGCAAATTAACTTGCAAACATGCTAATTTCATATTCTTCTTCGGCTCTTCCCACATTTTCCAGAAGAGAGCGACAGCACATAATTTATTATTATTAATTTTTCTTGGAGAAGCTCATTTTAAACCATATTATCGAAAAAAATCTGGTTGCACAATGTAAAATAGATGATAATGTAAAGGTTGATAATTAAGCCAATCAATTGAAGTGTCCCATACTAATTTGGCATGTACTTTTTTAAAAGGGAACATTCTCTCCTATAAATAGTGTTACTTTGTGTTTTTTTTTGCATGACAATCCTATACAATATTTTTTTTTTAAATTTAAAAATATAATCAAGAATAATAATATAAAGCTCAAATTTGCAAATTATGAAACTGGCAATGAGGGCGTTTGCTGCTTTTTTCCTTGTGTTTTTACTTATCTTGACGACAGGTACCTAATTCTATCCTTACTTTCTAGTAAATTATCATATTGTACTTTATGAAGCACCATTTTATGGACGATGAGAAAAGGCAATACTTGAAAATTTATTTTGAATATATAGGTTATCATCCTTTTATATATCTCCTTTTTTTGTGTCTTTATGCAAATTTTTTTATTAGCTAGAGCTACTACAAAACTGTCCATTAATTTCTATATAACTAATTAAAGATAAGAGTTTTTATTAGTAAAGAAGGGGATTTTGCAAATAAAAATAAAGAACAAAACTTAACACAACAAAACATGTTAAAATAGTGAAATTCACTTAATTATGCAAGGACACAGTGGTTATTAGGATTGTACTGTCTGGACCTCCCTTTTGCAAATTGCAATATGACATGACACATAATTAGTCGGTTGGGTCATGGATGGAACTTGTCAGTTTTAAGGTACGTACAACGAATAAGACCCTTAACCATCTTTTATACATTGTATAGAGTATTGTCCAAAAAAAAAAATTGTCAGATCCAAAATTTAAACAAGTTTTCCTTGTTTTTTAAATTAAGGCAAGGATCGATCGGAGTAATGTAATTAATTAATAAAATTAAGTAAATCCATAATTATGAGGATTTATTTTGTACTAATTAATTTCAACTTTCCATAACTCTAACACAAATTTATGTACATTTTGCCAATTTGAATGTGATGCATGACAGTAGAGGTAAGCACAAAAGTAGTAGAAGCAAGGGTGTGCGGTACTCCAAGTCACAGGTTCAAAGGAATATGTGTTAGCAGCAGAAATTGTGAAACTGTTTGCAATGCTGAGAGATTTCCTGGAGGAAGTTGCCAAGGATTTCGCCGCAGATGCATTTGCAACAAACCCTGCGCTTAGGCTTAGCCGACAATGGTGCCCATCCCGTTCCTCATCAACAATAACCAACTTGATGCAGTATATACACTATATGTCTCTATATATCATCTTATACAACCGCGTGTGTACTAGTACTACGCTTCTTATTAATTGTGGTAACTTTGTGATACGCAAAGTAGCGTAATCGTAACAAACAAGTACGAAGTACTACATACTAAATGCGTATGGTAGTACTAGTATGTAAAGTGGAAAAGTAGTAGAGTATTGAATTTGTGATCGAATTCATGTAGTATGTAGTATATAGTATGTGTAACGGTTGATAATGTAGTGTTTTGCACAATTTGAGATTTATTTTTTCTTTTTAGAAAGGAAAAGTAGAGGTTGCATAGAGATGACGTATTAGTGGAGCAAATGAGAAATAATTCAATTCCTAGTTGCAAAATGCGAATTCAAACGATGGTGCGTGCATAAGCCTTTAATATTGCCATATGCTTTGTCCAAATTTTTTTTTGGCATATTCTTGTTTGGCTGACCCCATATATCACAATTACCTTTAGAAATTGACACGAGAATTGTACTGTGATCTCCCAAAAAAATGGTACTTGGCACTTGGCACTGCCATATTTCATGATTCAAGATTGTTGAGGTATAATCTTTCCAAATAACGAAGGTAATACTTGTAAGTGTCCCGCATTAATAAAAGAGAAGACAGTTAAATATTTTATAAGACTAATGAAGTAAGGAGTTATATATAATTTTCTTCCAATTGTTATATGATTTTGGGATGAAATCTCCTTAGACCTGTAAAGTAAACACTATATAGTAGTTTTTAGATGACGGGCGTGATTTAGGCCTGAATTTAATATGATACCAGAGCTATGCCCATGTTCTTAGGTTAAAGGGTCTTTTCATGGGAGAGTGTTGAAGTCTTCTTAAATAACACATATAAGCGTATCATATTGATAAAAAAAAAAAAGAAGAGAGAGAGAGTTAAATAATACGGAGTATATAATAAGGCTAAGAGGTTATTTCTCTTGTTGCAATATGGTTTTGAGATTAAACCTCCATGATCTTGTAAAATGGACTCTCTCTTGATAACGGGTTCGATCTAAATACATATTTAACAAATATTCAGAAAACTCATCCATAATCTATTCTATTCACATCTTTAATTTAGTAAGGCCTAAATTACAAGATATATAAAATTTCTTTCCTTTTTCCCAAAAATTATATAGTTTCTTAAAAAAATATTTATATTTCCTTCCTTATGTTTGCTTGACCTATTTATTTTACCTATCACACTTGTTAATGAATAACTTTACTCGTGAATATCTTAAACCATCAATTTTAAAAAGTATAAAATTAATGATATAAATTTAAATAAGATATCGAGATGAATCTAGTAAGATTTATCTTTACTAATCACCACTCAAAAGATGAAAAAATTTGTGTGGACCCGAGGTCCATATACTTGCGCAATTGCCGCTTGGTTGAATATAGTGACCCTAATTTTGACATAGTAACCTTTATTAAAACTTGTGTGACTTTCAATCTGAAGTATGACGTATTGAATATAATGACCATAATTTTAATATAGTGACCTTTTATATTCTTATTGGTCAGTATATTAAAATTTTGTTACAAAAATTAATCTTTTTAGACCTTTATATAACACAATAATGACTTTTATTTGAACATAATAACCTTTATTTTAACATACTGACTCTCTTTTTCTTATTAATAAAACAACCATGTTGTCACTAACATTAGTGGTGCACAATAAATTAACGTGAAGCAGATCTATTTAAAAGTTTGTACTTAAAAAAAAAGTGCGTACTTTGTTTAAATAATTCAAAATTCAAAAGTCAAAATGGGTCATAAAAAAATATAGAGGAAGTATTAAACTATCAAATTAGAGTAATGCTTGGTGTTTCAGGGTTTTCTGATGTCCTGCGGGAGAGTTACAATTCCGAGACTGGAACCGGGCGCCTGTACTTGCAAAACAACGGAGACTCCTGGTGGTGGGAGCTCCGCCTCCAACGGTCAAGTTAGTACTTGATTAAGGAGTAATTAATGCGGAAGTTAAAGTGATTGGGTCTCTCTAGGTGAGAGTGTTTAATGTATGTAATCTGCTTTTTTAGCGTGATCAACATGTAATTCATGTAATCCCCCTTAATGAGGATTAAGGGAGGTATTTATAACCTTGGGAAACGTGCCAATCCTAGGTTTAGGTTAACCTAGGGCTGATTGGGCTTCCCTCGGAAGTTGGGCCTGGGTGGCCGGTTTCTCCATTAGGCATGGAGTATGCCACGTGTCATGACATAATAGGTCCAAGGTGGACGAATAAGCGTGTGCCACGTGGCAAGCCCTGACAGTTCCAACTGGGGGACACTTGGCAGGACCTGATTGGCCCACGTGGCACATTCCGATTGGTGGGAGCAAAATCCCCTAATCATTTGCCCCTCACAGATGGCACGTGACTGGTCACGTGTTACCTGTGACAGGTGTCGCACTGTAACAGGTGACGGCCTGCTACAGGTGTCACTCGGCGAAAGGCCGAGAGATTCTCCCGCCCAAATTATGAATTCTGGAAGTGACCCTTCGCCTTCTCACTTTGCCTATATAAAGGAGTGTTGACTTCGGTCATTTTCACACTTGAGAACTTTGAGAGAGAACATTCGGATCCCTGAACTTGCTCTGACATTTTGGACCGTTTCTGCCTACCGCCTGCTCTGACAAGCCGACTGCAAAGGATTTTCAGAACTTCATCAATCGTCACTCGTTCAGGTAACCGTCGGTCCTCTTACTCTTAATTTTCTCTTTACTTTATTCTTTTTTGAAATGGCACCACGGAAGCACACGACACGACCTAGGTTAGTGATCAGCCGGTCACCGGGGACGGCTGAATCTAGGACTAGGAGTGCCGCCTGCCCTTTTCCGAACCCATCTTTTCCCTTTATACAAAGTCCGACTGTATCTGTGTCTATGCAGAGCATGATGGCCAGAACAAAAAAGACTGCCAGGATCTCAAACTCAGACGGCTCCTCCCACAGGGTGCCGATTAGTGAAACATCTGACCAGGCGCCAGATGTGGAAGTGAAACAAAGCGGCTTGAAAGCCGGCAGTTCTGAGGGAGGAGTCAAAGTGACCCCTTCCATTTTATAGTTGACAATTCTACATTCTCTCCTGCTCCTTTTAAAGGAGAGGAGGCGGGCCCCTCCGGGAAAGGGGAGGAGTCGTCCTCTTCGGACTCGTCAGAGGACGATTCCGAGTCTAGCTCTTCTGGCCATGCTTCTCTGGACACAGAAGAGAAAAACAGTCGCCTGCAAGAGGCGAGGCTTTCTCACGCAGTTGAGAAGGGGGACGATTGGGCGGAGCCATCCGCCTCTTACCGAGAGCAAAATACCCCCTACTACTGCACGGTACCTCGGGGCCGGATCACGGCCATGCAAGAGAAAGTGGAGAGCTTTATCGCAAACCACACAATGGGCCCCGACTTTTTAGTGTTTGTGCTGGATCCAGAAGACACAGTCGTCTGGCCGGCTGGTACCAGTTATGATAGCGCCTGCTTTGGCTGCTACGAGGCGGCCATCAAGGCTGGGTTGCGCTTCCCACTACATCCGGATGTTCAGCGGATCTTGGATGGGTATGAGTTGGGGTTATGGAAGTTAGCCCCGAACTCCTGGGTCAACGTACTCGGATATGTGGCCGGGTGCGAACTGCACGGGGTGGAGCCGAGCTTCGAGGCTTTCGCCCACATGAACTACCTCAGCCGGACCCCTAAGGCAGGCGGTACCGGCTAGTATCAATTGACGAGCCACAGGGGCTACCTCATGACGAGAGGTAAAGCAAACAAATGGAAGGACTGGCGGAGCACCTTCCTCATCATTGAGAGTTCAGACACAGAGCTGAACAAGCGCTTCAACAGGTGGAACAGGAATCCGCCCCTTCTTGCAAGCGGCCGCAGCATGCCGCCTGTTCCCCCCAAGGCTAAGAAAGAGATCCTAGATAAAGGACTCTTCAAAGTAGAGTCGAAGGTGAACTCTACTTCAGGGGTACGAGAGCAAGTACCCCTGCACTGCGTCCCGAGCTTCAAATGGATCTACGACGAGTACTTTTTGGCCGCCTGTGGCCTCAGCAGTCGGTGCTCAAGAGGTAGCCGGCCTGTCGAATACTCTGTTGTTCCATTCATTTCTTGTTATGACTTTTATTAACTTTGCTATTTGTTTTTGCAGCGGACGCCATGAGCAAAATTACCGCCTCCAAGACTGCGGCGGCCATGTTGCGGGCCTCCATCATGCAACAGTCTTCAACCGACTCCCCCAACAAGGGGGCACCCTTGGTGGGCTTCGAACCTTTCACCCTCTTTTTGGAGTTGTGTTTATGCATATACTGACTTCTTCTTTTTTAGACGGGCGCTCCAAAAGCTTCTTCTTCCCAACAACCGGACCCCAAGGCCCGGAGGATGACTGTTGCGAGCTCTCCTGGTTCTGCCAGGAAACATGCGGCGGCTGAGAAACAGCCGGCCAGTTCTTCTAAAACTCCAGCTGGGCCGCCTAGAAGTATGAAGTTGTCCTTGTAAATTTTAGACTTGCTCCTTTTTTTACTAGGTCTAATCCGTTTGTTTATGCTTGATGCAGCCGGCCCTCAGGAGCCTGACTTGGTCGAGGTGGCCAAGTCTATGATCAAGGCCGTTCCTCCAGCTGAAAGAGAGGCGGTCAGGGGTGTCGGCACCCTTGACCTAGACGGGATTGCAGGGGTCCTTGCTGAGGTATACTTAGCATATTTTTGAGTATTTGAATTCCAGGACGCCTGTTTTCTTTTTTGTTTGGAAACTGACGCCTGTTTCCCTTTTTACTTAGGCCCTGCTCCGAGTGAACGGCCTTCGCAAGCCGCTTGACCGGAAGAACAAAGAGGTAAAGGCTGCAAAAGCTATGGCCGCCTCTGACTGTGATAAGGCAATGTTTCAAATTGCCCAAAATGAAGTTTTGACCATTAATATTCTTTATTATCAGGCGTAGGCTACCGCTGTTAGAGGCGGCCCAGAAGAGGAAAAGCGAGCTGGAGGCGACCATCAACAGCCTCAAGGCCGAGCTGAGACCTCTTCGCCAAAAGATGTCCTCATACGAAACCTTGGAGAAATCCTTGGCGAGCGTAAAGGTACGCCTGGTGACCTAGGAGAAGAGTCTTACTCAGGAGCTCTCGGAAAAGGCCGAGCAAGAAAAGAAAGAGCTGGTCCGGGAGATGATGGAAGACTCTGCTCAAATCCAGCGCATGACTTGGGGCCGCCTCTTCCCTAATGCCGACTTTGCCTCATGGGAAAAAACGTACCGCCAGTGTTCTGATAGATATAATCAAGAGATCCTGGCGGCTGCTGAGGAAGAGGCGTTGGAGGACGCGTTGGAGGAGGAGGAGCAGCCGGTAGTGGCGCTTGTGTCACTT